GCTATTCCTTGGAATCTATTGAACTTCACAAATCTGGGTGGCCATATTCATCCCAAGATTTACAAACTTTTCAAACAGTGCTCTTTGAAACAATGAATTTTTCTTTATCTTTCTTCTCCCTTTTTGACATCCAGAATCCATACATTCATATTTGGGTTGGTATCCCATGAGTCAAAATAGTTCATAGATTTCCATTCAGGTACTGTATGCTTTCTTTCTTTCCATATTTTCCATTATTTTTAATTTTTGCTCTACCCATTGGTTAACTTCAAGTAAAATATATTTTAGGTTTGCTATTTCTGCATAGTCAAGTCAGCTGTGGAAACTCACGGTTGAATTTTTAAACTTTTAGTTATGTTTCTGCATTGTTCTCTTAATTTTATTATTTACCTATGTGTGTTTTCTTGATCTTCTTTGAGATTCTTTAAAATGATTCTTTTGAATTCTCTTTTAGGGAATTTGCAGATCTCCATTTTGGGGTTGGTTATTAGAGTTTTATTAGTTAACCTTTGCTGATATTCTATTTGCCTGATTCTTCATTATCCATATATTCTTGCACTTATGTCTGCATTTGAAAGAGCAGACACCTCTTTTAGTCTTTACAATCTGTTTTGACAGCTTAATGACTTCTGTTTTGTTTCTGAGATGGTGAAATTATCTCCAAGATAACAGTCAAACAAGGTTGGAGATTCTGTGTCTACCTTGGCATCCATGGTTGGTGGGCCTGTTACTAGGTCTCTAATGGACATGGATTCTGTCCCATCTCAGACTCTGTCTAGTACATTGGTTTACAGGACTAGTGCTGGCATGATAGTCTGTCTCAGGGTGTACATATGGTGGGCCTATTACTAGGTGTGTGATATTGTGACTTTTGGGGAAGGCCTCCATTGTCATTGGGTGGGTTACTGGGTGGGCAACACTGTCCTGGTCCACAGCTAAGAGGGGATGGAATGGAGTCCCAGGGCTTTGTCAGTGTCTATAGTTGAGACCAAGTTTTTCATGCTTTGGGTTCATGAACATTCTATTATTTATTTGATGAGTAACTGGCTAGGGAGGATTTCGTACAAGTCGCAGTCGAGAAGGACTTGAACTGAATTACAGGGGCATTTAAAGATCCACAGCAAGACCAAATTCAGCAGGTCAGATCATAGTTACTGCTGGTGACCATGTCTAATTCAGGTCCCTGTGGGGTGGGACTGTTCCCAAGCTACAGTGGAGGGGTGGAATTTTGATTAAATGCCTTATTAATATGTCTTCTGTTACTATGGCAAAATTCAAGAGGATGTTTAATACATAAGGTAAGGAGGTTTATGTTGTTCCATGGATCTAGAAGCTAGGAAAGTGCCAGCAACTCGTCTTCTGATGAAAGACACATGCTCCTCCAGAGTGTATGTACGGAATAAAGGGGTCATATGGTGAGAGAACAAGCAGAGAGTGAGTCAAAGAAGTGAAACTCACTTTTTTTTTTAAGTTTCAGAAATTTATTTATTTATTTTATGTGGTGCCAAGAATCGAACCCAGTGTTTCACATGTGCTAGGCAAGTGCTGTACCACTAAGCCACAACCCCAACCTGTGAAACTCACTTCCTAAACAACTTATTCTTATGCCAACTAATCCTGCCACACAAGTACCACATTAACTCCTTCATGATGGGAGAGACTCAATGAGCCAATCACCTCTCAAATGTCCCACTCCTCTCAACACTGTTACATTGGCAACAAAATTTCAGAGTGAGTCTTGGCAAGCACCAATCATAGCAGGGTCTATTTCTGATGTCAGCAAGCCTGTTCTGGGAATATAAATGGGTATATCTCCTAGTAGGTTCCCGAGGGAACAGGACGGATCCCAGACTGAAGCTGATAGGGGCCAGAGTGAGGGTGCATGGTGGTTCCATGGTCTGAGCTGGGACTGATGTCAATCAACCTGTCTTTCAAGGTTCTAATGAGTATGACTCCTTCCAGGTCCCTTGGTAGATGGTTTTGGTAGCAGGACCAAAGCCTGATAGGTTGTAACTGAACTCAAAGGGGATGAGGCTATTTCTGGGTCTAGAGTGGGGACCTCTTTCAGCAAATCCCCCACCTGGGTGTGAGTATACCCTCTTAAAGCACTCCTCCTTGATCTTGGTCTTCAATAGAGTTTTCAAACTCCTACCTGAATTCCAAGGCATTTCATCTATGGGTGGCTGCAAAATTATTGTTTCTCTGGTGGGATTTGAACAAAGGACTCCCATTCTGCTAACTTGTTGATGTTACCTTTTAGGGGAAATTTTTTAAAATTTACTTTTCTAGATTTTAACTTCAATTTTGTCACTTACAACTAATTATACCTATTAAAACCGACAGTTTTGATTGAGAATAAGTGAAATATTTTAACCTCAGGCATGCTGATATAGCTCAACATTAGATAATATTTTACCCATCTAAATATATTTATTTTTATCAAGGAAATTCTTAAGATTAAAATATTGAAAACCTAAACTGGAAAGAATGGTGTACATCTGTAATGCCTGTAATTACAGCTACACAGAGGGCTGAGGCAGGAAGATTGCAAGTTGAAGACCAGCTTGGCCATACTTAGTGAGACCTTTCTCAACAAAACAAAAGACTGGAAGGTAGCTCAGTGGGAGAGTGCTTGCCTAGAATGTGTGAAGCTTGGTTCTAGCCCCAGGACACCCCCCCCCAAAAAAAGAAATAAGGAATAATAATAAAATAAAATGCAGAAGTTTAAAGAACTCAAGCAGAGAAAATGAGTTCAGCACTAGTATTTTACAGAAGTTGAAAGTGAAGTAATTGCTCAGAATAATTAGTGAGAATATATATATAGAGAGAGAGAATATATATATTCTATTGAAATGTTATGAGTTTTGTAATTTTTTTCCATTATAATATAAATGATAAAAAAAAATTGAGGAAAAGAAGTCCGTGATGAGACACATACCTAGTATAAATGAGGTCCTAGACCCCACCATCAGAAATCAAAAAGCAATATGAAACAATGCCCCCCAAAACATAAAAGCAAAAGCAAATAAATAAAAAGATATAATTCTAAGATTCAGAAGCCTAATATTTAAAAAGAAATTAAAATCTAAGATTCTCTTAAGAAAATGTTTGTGTTTAAAATGTAAACCAATTAAGTGCACGAGTGGTTAGAATTCTATCCTTCCAGATCTTATAGAATATGTAAACAAGTTTTTAGAGGCACTTGGAAATGGAGAAACTAAATGACACACTTAGAAGTCCCTATTGTTCTTCAACAGAAGCCCAGTGTCCTATATTCTGGAGTTGGGTGATGAGATAAATTAATTTCAAAATAGCCTGTGTGTGAGAATTTCCTGTTCAACCTTAAGTGACACATTGATGAGAAATCTTCTTTTTCCATTCTTGACTCACTCTGAGCCTTCAGAGGGCAATCTGTGAAGATCATAGATATTGTTTGTTCTTATCCTGGACTTAGGTCATTCAATTTCACCTTTTCTTACTCAGCAATGGCAGACCTCCTTATGTGAGTAACCAGGTCTTCCCACTAAAGGATGCATGACTTTCTGGCAATACAAGGTATGTTTGCTACTCTTTGTCTCTGATAGCCCACCTCAGATAGAGGGGGGTTGCAAATACTAGACATGCTGCACCTGAAGTACAAGTCATAGACAATAAGATCAAAGTACAGCATCCATGTCTTAAATTGGTTGAGGAAAATTCTTACAATATGAAATACATTGGAGGATTTCTTAAAGGTTTCTAATTATTGCCTAATTAATCAAGTGCGTCCACATATATTGGGGTTTGTTAATCAATATGATTTAAAATGAAACCCAGGGGCATCGAAACAATAGACCATTAATTTTTTAATATTATAATAAGTAAGCTTTGGATATTTGAAAAATAATATTAATTTATATTTAGCTCAGCCATTATAGAGTCTTAACAGAAATTTCTATGAACGGTGAAAGCCAAATGTAAGTCATCAGATACTTACTTAGATCGTAAATAACTGTAGTTTATGCTTTCAATAAAAATCCGTATGAGCTAGCTTAAACCAACTACTAAACTTAATAAAGACTTCTAAACAATTAATCAATAAATATATATCAAACTGATATATAAGATCCTTGTATAAAGGTTTCTTATACATGGCATAGCTGAGATGATTCATAAACAATGACATAGCAATTATAACTTAAATAGTAGTTTAAATAGCTAACATTTATGGAAAATTTTAAGTGCCAGATTGTGTTAAGTGTTTTACATGCATTATATTTTATATATTCATATTTGAATTTTAGAAGCGTAAACTTGGTTATTGGTAATTATAAAATCATTTTATCTGCATTATTCTAATTACTTATACAACTAAAGTAACCCTCACTGATTTTCATGACCATAGACTATCTGGAAGTTTCAACTTACAATGAAAGCTCTATACTTTATCATTTCATGATCTCATAGCCAATTATTTTCATAAAATAAGTATTAAAATTACTTTTGCAGCCTTTTCAATGCTGTTTATGTCATGTATATGTTTATAATGTCAGAGAACATTTTTCAACACACAATATCCTTAATTTTTAGTAATTTCAAAATAACTTCTCAATTATTCAAAATAAGACTATTTAATACTTCTAATCCATTTTAATAAATACATATAAGCCACTAAATAAAGGTAGGACAGTGCAAGAAATTAAGATGTGTCTACTTTTCAATTCTCTGTTTAAACAGTTTTAAACCTCATTGGATGTCAATTTATCATAAAGTCAACATATAGTTTCTTCTATTACAGCATTGTGATCTTTCATGCTAATGTTATTCTTCATGATCTTAAATTATTTCTGTGGAAACCAACTTTATTAAAGATATCCTTATTCATAAGCATCTTAATTTGTCACTAATTTATTGTTTGATGCCTCACCAATAATATTTTGTCAAAAGTAGAGGATCCTTAAAATATTACCTAATTTAACCATAAGTTTTAATGTTTAATTCTCTAGGGAAAGATTTACCATCTTCAAAAGCAAAGTGAGCACCAACACTTGCTCCTCACCCCGCCCACTGACTGCATTAAGGGTCTCATCACCACATATGCCATAAGTTAAGCACAATTATCAGAGTACGGTCCTTGACATCAACTCAGCTGCAGAAATGAGTAATCAAGGAGTGATTTACACAGAACTGAATCTTGGCAAGAACCCAAAGAAGCAACGAAGAAAATATAAGGACATTAAAAGCTCCATTTCAGTAACTGAGGAGGAAATAACCTATGCAGATTTAAATCTTCAAAATTCTTCTCAAGAACATCCAGGGAATGACAAGGACAACCACTGCAAAGGTAAAATTTGTGATCAATCCTCAGTGTCTGGCTGTTCTAGGATGTGTAGTTGGGATGCAGATGTGTGGGTAGGAAGTAGGGAACTCTCATATTTGTGAGGATAGGAGTTCTAACTTGAGCCGTTACTCTATTTTAAAATATGAAGACTAGCTTTTGTCACATTGTTGAAGTTTCTAGTCCTTGATAAAGAACATCTGGAGCATTGTGTTCACTGAAAATGTGATGGTGTATTCTAAAGACAGATTACAGTGGTAGATGTGAAATTGGGTCCAAGTTTATCTTTACGATTCCCAGTGTATGGGGTTTCTCTTGCATGTAAACCTTCTGAACAGCTATCTGCATCCTCCTTTCTCCGTGCTACCATTTCTCCTCTGCAGAGTTTCCATCACCTCCAGAGAAGCTCATTGCTGGGATCCTGGGAATCACCTGCTTTGTTTTAATGGTCACTGTGGTGGTGATGATTACAGTTGTTATTCCATGTAAGAATATTTTTGGAAGATTATAAGGGAAGTTTTCACTAATCATTGGAAGGTCCTCTATATATTTCATTTCAGGGAACAGAACTTTCCTTTTAATATTTAGACTAAATGTGAAGTGGTTATTCTGAATTTTTCAAAAATATAACTGAAGGATTGCAGTAAGTATTTTAAATTATGTTTATCTACTGTGATTTTGTAACTCAAAAACATACATTAGGAGACTGGGAAGTTTCACTGAGAAATATAAGTTGTGTTCTGAAAGTGGTTATGCTAAATATTGTACTGAAAGAAATAGTGATGTTAGGTTTTCATTGAAATAATATTTTTCTTTATTGATTTTCTTTTAAAAATCAATTTGAGTCTATATTATTTTCATTCTAAGTAATACATATATTTTACACTAAGAAACTAAAATGATTATGATGTATTTGGATATTAATTTTTATAAGACCTATTTTAATTTTTCTAGCTACTGTATTACAGGAGGAGAATAATTCTTCCCTGATAGGAACCCAGAAAGGTACATAATGATTTTCAAAGTTCTGATATATTTGTATATATTATGTTTTTCTATGTGACTAAAGCCATGCAAAGATGGTCATCAATTTCTTGGGGAAAAATACATCTAGAAAAATTGGCACTAAATTCCCATAAATAAAGATTATAGGAGGACATTTCTTTTTGTCCAGACAATAAGATTAAATTCCAATTTAAAATAACTATATAATCTTTTGGCCTAATGGCTCCAATTTCCTAATTTTGGTATATTACATGGCATAAACTAATTTTATATTCTAGAAAAAGAAGTGTTCAGTGATCTTTAAGAGTCTCATGTGAGGTTTTTCTCTTTGTTTGCTTTCTATGGGCACATCCATGGGATGAGAGGCTGGTCCTTTTCCGTGTTTGTGTATATAAGTATATTTTTGGTTTAATATGTAACAGCCCAAGGGGTACATAGGTATGTTGTATACATTTTTATGTACACAAATATGTAAATTCATTTTAATTTTAAAAAATTTACCTCATTTCTGAATAAAAATTCATGAAAATCTTCCTTCAGCATATCATTGTAGACGTTGTCCAAAGGAATGGTTAACATATTCGAATAACTGTTACTACATTAGCATAGAAAAAGTGACTTGGAATGAGAGTTTGGTGTCCTGTGCTTCTAAGAACTCTAATCTGCTTTATATAGACAATGAAGAAGAGATGGTAAGGTTTTAAATGTTTCATTCTGTTAAAAGCTTTTTCATAGGCAATATTATATTTATAGAATTCATTCATATTCTTGTACATATTTGCCAGGTATTTACAAGTCTGAATAATATTTCATTATTTGGCTTTGTGATTTTATCTTTATTTGTATGCTTTAATATACATTTGTGTATTTCCTTTTTATGAAAAGTCATGCTCATAAAAATTTTATCCTTTCATTCTGAAATAAACTCTACTATTTAATTTTATTTCACATAAAGAAAACTAAACATCTCTTGATTGTGCAGATTGTTTGCAAAGTTACTAGACTGAGGTAATTACAGTCAGATCACTACATAAAAAGGTTCCAATTCCTACCTGTCCCACCCTTGCATATGTGCTCAACATTCTGGCTCCTGCCTAAACTACTATCTTGGCTTCTGCTATGATAAATTAGCTTTGCCTGTTTTTGAACTTTACATGAATGCAATCATAACTATGCATTTTTTTCCCGTTTCAATCTTATATGGTATTTGGATGATTTATCCATCTTATTACATTTACCTGTAGTTTTCTAATTTTCACTACTGTATTATGTGGATATAACATTTAAAAATCCTTTCCAATATCAGATCTCTGGATGGGAGCGATGAGTCTCATGCCCTCAGGGACAAACAGACTTCCAAGCTGGAGCATTTATACTCATGGAATTCCTTTTTCTGAATCCCTTCACGCTGTTGATGGGTATTCTGAAAGATCATCTTCACCAATGGTTTCTACTGTGTCAGGTCCTGCTAGTGGGAGTCCCTTTCACACAGAGGAGCTTATAAGAGCCACCTCATATTGCTAGGTTGGGTAAGGAGCCAGCATGCAAGGGGCACTTTCTTCTTTTGGATAAGGGATTTAAGTATTAGGGTCCTTTGTGGTTCCCTAATACTACAGTGCCAAACCATTTTTACCTCTTCCTTTCCATCTTTCAGAATTCTTTTTTGCTCCTGTCTTTCACTAATCCCATAATTTATAGTTATATTATCATGTAGCAGCAGAGAGACACAAATCAATGCCATCTTCACCGAACTGTCAGCATTTCACAAATACAGAAACAGATAACAGTAGAGACTTTAAAAAATGGTGTGGTGCATAGAACACCTGATTTTTGGCTTCCATGTAATTTATTTCTTCAGTGGAAACCCTTAATTTCCTTCTAAAACTTATACTCCGAGGAACATAGTGGAAAAATACATTGATTTAATTAGTCACAGCCTCTGGAGAATTAAATATATAGTATCTGGAAACTTATTTAAATTCTTGCTATGTTTATTTTGTTAACATGTGTAACAGAATACATGAATCACAGTATTCCTTATTCACAGAAACAACATGTGGTTATTAAATATTTAATTTTAAAGTTCAAAAAATGTTCAATTATGAACATTTATGCAAGGTTTTCAACAATACAAAAAGTGGGTTTATTGTTTATCCAATTAATTGGTTGGGAACATTAAGGTACTATGACATAATGTACTATTTTTAAAAGTAATGAAACCTTTCACACTGATTATTTAAATAAAAATTCTGTTTTCTGGCAGTCTTTTCTACATTCCCTCTCACTTCTGTCATGGGTTGGAGTCTTTCGTAAGAGCAAGGATCATCCATGGGAATTGATAAATGGCTCAACTTCCAAATTAAAGTAAGCTTTTTTTAAAAAAAAAATTATGCTACATCTAAAAAAATTATGTTCAAAAGAATAGTATTAATAATTTGACTTATAAACATGTAAAAAATATTGCAAATTAGTGAAATGTTGACATAAATATTAAAGAATGGATTGTCTTTATAATTACTAGCTTTTACTAAAATTATATGAAAATGTCATCCATTTATTGTTTTTTACAATTACATGAAAATGCTTTCACTTAATATATTTTTTTCTATAAAATATAACTGAATTCTGCACTTTTCATCATTACAGGGTAAAGGAATCATCAGATGATGAACGTAACTGTGCTATGCTGTACTCATCTGAGCTTAAATCAGACAGTTGCGTATCTTCGAATACATACAATTGTAAACATAAGCTTTAACATTAATATACCTAAATCTGAAGTCTGTCAGGTAATTTTGTATTTTATGAGTGGAAATAATATTAAGATTGCTTTAGTCTTAGAATGGAATTATATCATTTGTTTTAATAACAAAAATTTTCAAAAACAATTATTGAATTCTATTATATGCCAAAAATAAAAATAATAATTTGTGTCTGTCTTTTTTTACTCAATATTGTATTCATGACATTCAACCTTTATAAAGATTCCATGTTACCTGAGTCCATTTCTGTGAAATGCCAAAAACAGACAAACCTGTGGAAACAGTGTGGATTAGTGGTTACCGAGGGCTAAGATTATGACGCAATGGAACATGACCACTACTAAGTATGTGTTTTTTTTTTTCGGAGTGATGGAAATTGTTTAGATTTCTGATAGCAGTGATGATTGTAGCTATGTGCATATTCTAAAAATCACTGATTTATAGAATTTAACAGTATGAATTTTATGCTGGGTGCTTCAATGATGCTGTTAAAACATTTTTTCCAGTATTATCTTTGAGATTGCATTGACTCAGGTAAAGTTTAGTCATCCTTATAATATTGACTTTTCTAGTAAATATCATGCTATGTCCTTCAACATATTAGGGTTATTTAATTTTTCTTGATCACATGTTCTTTTGATATTAGTCTTACAGAAATTTAAGTATTCACAATAATGGTTTTGTAAATGACATACTTATTTTTAAATGTAAATTGATTTTAGTAATTTTTGTTGCTGCAAATAAAATTATAATTGATGTTTGCATGTTGATCTTACATCCAATGCCTTCACTGATTTTATGTATTAATGCTATCATCCAAATTTAGATTATTATGTATTTTCTCTGTAAACTACTGCTTTATATATAAATAATCACACTTCTATTTTCTTCCCAAGTGCAATTACTTTTCCTGACTTGCTTCACTGGCTAGAATTTGATTTTCAAGGTTCTATTTACATTATGTGTATCATTTCCTACTCTATAAAAAAATTTCAACATTTCATCTGATTTATGAATTTTTATCACAACTTCTCCAATAGATACAGTTCTGTAATATTCTTATTTTTCTATTAGACTTTGTTATCAAGTGATTTTTTTATTATTATTTTTTGTATCAATTGGAATGATGTTTTTTCTGTATGGTGTTTAGGAAAAAATTACCTATATCTTTCTAAAATATTAAATAATCTTGAATTTATGAAATAAAATTGGTGTTAGTGGACCATGAACTGAATCTCTCAAACTATGAGCCAAAATAAATATTTCCTCTTCCAAGTAATTTTTGCCAGGTGTTTCATAATGAAATATGTCCATGATGAAAGCTGACCGACTCATGATACCATATGTATTTGTAGAATTAGTCTTTAGAATGGTTTATATAACAGATTAAATTTATTTAATAAATTTATTTAATATATAGTTTTGCTCAGCTATTTGTTATACGAAAATTTTAAGTAGGTATTTTGTAGGAATTTTCTATTTCCTATAGATGTTAAAATATATTCTTACATGAGGATGGAAACTCTGCTTATTTATGCAATCCAAATGAGTAATATGTTTTTTTCCCATCCTTTCACTTTCAGTTTGTGAATGTCTTTGCCTATGAAATGAATCTCTTGGAGAGTGTTCATTGTTGGATTTTTTTTCACTTATTCTAATTTGTCATATATGACAGCAGAATGCATTTCAATTCATATTACACATATAGAGCACAATTTTTCATGTCTCTGGTGTACACAAAGTAGTCACACCATTCGTGTCTTTATACGGGTACTGTCCATCTCATTCCACTGTCTTTTCTACATTCATGCCTCTTCCTTTCCCTTACCTCCCCTTTGCCCTATCTAAAGTTCACCTGTTCCTCACATGGCCCTTCATCCCCATTATGAATCAGCAGAAAACATATCAGCGAAAACATTTGGCATTTGGTTTTGGGGATTGGCTTACTTCACTTAGGATTCATTCATTTACCTGCAAATGCCATGATTTTAATCTCTTGTACTGTTGAATAATATTCCATTGTGTATATATATTACATTTTCTTTATCCATTCATCTACTGAAGGGCTTCTAGGCTGGCTCCACAGTTTAGGTATTGTGAATTGTGCTGCTATAAACACTGATGTGGCTGTGTCCCTGTAGTAGTATACCTTTGGGTATAGATGGAGGAGAGGAATAGCTGGGTCAAATGATTGTTCCATTCTCAGTTTTCCAAGGAATCTGCATACTGCTTTCCAAATTGGCTGTACCAATTTGCAGTCCCACCAGCAATGTATTATGAGTGTGCCTTTCCCCCCACATCCTCGCCAACACTTATTGTTGTTTGTCTTCATAATAGCTGTCATTCTGACTGGAGTGAGATGAAATCTTAGAGGAGTTTTGATTTGCATTTCTCTAATTGCTAGAGATGTTGAATATTTGTTGATTGATTACTTCTGAGAAGTGTCTGTTCAGTTCCTTAGCTGATTTATTGATTGGATTATTATTATTTATTTTTGGTGTTAAGTTTTTTGAGTTCTTTATATATCCTAGAGATTAGTGCTATATCTGATGTGTGTGTAGTAAAAATGTACTCCCATTCTGTAGGCTCTCTATTCACCTCACTGATTGTTTCTTTTGCTGAGAAGAAGCTTGTCAGTTTAAATTCATCCCATTTATTGATTCTTAATTTTATTTCTTGCACTATAGGAGTCTTGTTAAGGAAGTCAGGGCCTAATCCTCTTTTTCTTCTATTAGTTGCAGGGTCTCTGGTCTAATTTCTACATCCTTGATCCACTTTGAGTTGAGTTTTGTGCCTGGTGAGAGATAGGGGCTTACTTTCATTTTGTTGCATAGGATTTTCAGTTTTCCCAGCACTGTGATGAAGAGGTTATCTTTTCTCTAATATATGTTTTTGGTGCCTTGTCTAGTATGAGATAACTGTATTTATGTGAAGGGGCTTGTTTTTAATCCAATCTGCCAATCTATGTCTTTTGATTGATGAATTTAGGCCATAAGCATTCGAGTTGATGTGATTTGTATTTCTGGTCATTTTGGTTTATTTCTGGTTTTTAATTTGAATTAGTTTCTCCTTTGATTGACTATTCTTTTAGTGTAGTTCCTCCCTTTGCTGGTTTTCACTTTTTTTTTTTTTCATTTTATCCTCATGGAATATTTGGTTTAGAATGTTCTGTAGTGTAGGCTTTCTAGTTGTGAATTCTTTTTAACTTGGTTTATCATGGAAGATATTTATTTCATCTTCAAATCTGAAGCAATTTTTCTGGATATTAAATTCTTGGTTGGCATCCATTTCTTTCAGAGCTTGATATATGTTATTTCATGATTCCTAGCTTTGAAGGCCTGGGTTGAGAAATCTGCTGAAATCCGAATTGGTTTCCCCCTATATATAATTTGATATTTTTCTCTCTGGCCTTTAGGATTCAATTCTTATTCTGCATGTTAGTGATTCTCAATATAATGCAACTCTGTGGCTGGTCTATTGCCAGCTTTCTTTATCCAAGGTCCAATTCTAGGGTTAATTATACTTTTCCTGCCTATGCCTCAAATCTTGCACTCTTTGCTTATTAACAAATGTGTGAAGCTGTTAAAAAATTCTTATTATGGTTTTAATATGTTTAATATCTATAAAACCATAATAGTATTCTCATTTTTAATTCAGACATAAAGTATTTAGACATTTCCAAATCTTTTCTTCAACAATGTTTTGTCAATTTTATTATGTCTTTTCAATGAAAGTACCTTTGATTTTATTGATCTTTGCTACTGTAATTTTGTTTTCATGATTTTATACTATTTATTATTTCTACTTTCTGGTTCATTTGTGTTTAATTTTAGCTTTTCTCTTTTTAGTTTCTTATAACACATGCTCAAAATTCAATTTCTTTTCTTTCTTCTTAATATTGCCTTTAAATCAATTTTGAAAGAAAAGTTTTTCTGATTATATTTTTTTTGTAATTCATATAAAAATTGTGAACATTCATTGTGATCATCTCCTCCTCATCATCCTCTTCTTCCTCCTCCTACTCCTCCTTCTTCTTTTTCTCTTTTCCCCCTTTGATACTAGGAATTGAACCCAGAGGCACTTTATCTCTAAACTAAATCCTCAGTTCTTTTTTAAAAATTTGAAACAGAGTCTCACTAATTTGCTTAGGGTATCATTAAGTTTCTGAAACTGGCCTTGAATTTGCAATCTTTCTGTCTCAACCTCCCAAGATGCTAGGATTATAGGCATGTGCCATTGTACCTGGCTCACTGTGATTTTTTTTTAGCCCATAAACTACTTAGAAATGTATTGCTGAATTAAAAACCATATATAAAATTTTTGGTTATTGGCTTCTTTTTTAGGTAAACAGTACTTAGAATTTTCTGTGAGGCTGAAATGCTCTATTATCTGAATGTTGTTAATATGACTGAGAAATTGATTTTTAAATTTTATTTATTTTTGATTTGAATTCCTATATTTCAAGAATCTGCTGGAAAAACTTGACTAGTGTCTTCTGCATTGGGAGCATAGTTCCATATATTTTTATGTTACTATCCTTAGAAACTTGACAAAATGATGTATTTGGAAAGATTTCATGGGAATTTAAAACATGATTATTTTATGTTAGTATAAAGTCCATAGCTATGTGCATATGCATATTTTATTTGTTTATTTTATTTTTTAGAGACTGATATATCTCATATGATAAGCAGAAATAGAAAAGTTTTAAATACTCATTAATTATTTTTTTGGCTTTTCAGTTCTTTTTAATCCTATGTCAAACTTGTTAGTTTAGGATGCATGCATTATTTTTAAAAGTTAATTGGATAACGAATCTTCCACTTTAAATTATGCTTCTTCACTTCTAATGATTTTTCCCTAATATTATGATAGTTCATTAATTCTCAACAAATTTCTTTTGGTTTGTGCTGCTCTTCCTTCACCTTTTTACTTTCATCTTTCTTTATTAAAAGACTATCTCACTAAAATAACAAACATAATTTTTTCATTTAAGAACTTTTATTTATGGAGAACATTTTAGTTGCTTGGGGTACATGCAATACATGTACTGACTTTAGGAAGACAAGTATTTATTTTTAAACATAAACACATGTACTTAACTTGGGTAGTACTATATTTATGGTTAACATAATTATCACATTATTAAATATATTACATATGGATTTTATTTGTATATATAGATACATTAATATAACTATTAATGTTAATTTAAATTTAACTTAGATTGCATGCAAACATTTTTGTACTCTACTTTTTCTATGATTTTTAAAATGTTTTTTATTGTTCAATTTCCACTATACAAGATTATTAATTTTTTTTTTTTTGCGGGGGCGGGGGGGGGAGGGGGTTGGTTACCAGGGATTGAACCCAGAAGCGCTTAACCACTGAGCCATAACCCCAGGCCTTTTTTAAAAAATAAAATTTATTTTTTATTTGTAGATGAACACAATAACTTTATTCAATTTATTTTTTTATGTGGTACTGAAGATCAAACCCAGTGCCTCACATGGGCTAGGCAAACACTCTACCACTGAGCCACACACTCAGCCCAACCCCAATTCTTTTTAATTTTTATTTGGAGTCAGAGTCTTTTTAAGTTCCTTAGGGCCTTGCTAAGTTGCTGAAGCTGGCTTTGAACTTGTGATCCTCCTGCCTCAGTTTCCTGAGCTGGAGCTGCTGGGACTATAGGTGTGCACTACAGCCCCTAGCAATTTGATATTTTAAATATTTTTATTAGCACTCTTCATTTTATAGCATATGTTTACTCATTAAAG